GCTTTTTTTTTTTTTTTTTTTGGTGCCTTCAAGTCATTGCTGACTTCTGGTGACTGCCTGGACGAATCCCTGCACTTTTCTTGGCAAGATTTTGGAAGTGGTTTGCTCTTGCTTGCTTCCTAGTGCTGAGAGAGAGTAACTGGCCCAAGGTCAGCGAGTTGGCTTTGTGCCTAAAGCGGGACTAGAACTCATGGTCTCCTGGTTTCTAGCCTCATGCCTTAATCACTACACCAAGCTGTCTCTCAGTTCAGAGCTAATATCAACATATTTGGATCCATTTGTTCAATTTTCTTATCACAGAGACCCAATTTCCAAGCCTTTTTGTATAGCTTTTCAATGGAAGCAGGGTATTCATGAGGGCGGGGGGCTCAAAATAGTCAAGGGAGCAGCCACAACTATGCAATCAACGTCCTGCTTCAAAGGCATTGCATGGTTGTGACTTGACTATTTTGACAACCACTGAGTAGAATGTTGACAACCTCCTCAAAATCACATCAACTCTTTGTTGCAAAGAGAAGCTTCAGTGGACAACAGTTTTCAACAGCAAATTAATAAGAGTTAAAAGAATTCTTCTACTATACCAGGGAAACACAGCATGAAGTGCCAGGGCAGATGTCACCCCCAAAAGCTTGGGTGCAACCCATATTCAGAGTTCCTCCAAACCTAAACAAAACTGTAATTTTTAATGTGACAGGGATCTAACATGGCATTTAACCATATGAACTATATTTAATTAATATAATTATAGGGTTTTTTAAATTAAGTTTGTATATATTATAACAGCTGAATTAAATTTAAGGCCACTTCTTTTTCTGTCCCACCACTCAAAAATCAAGTGTAGCCCTAAATATGAAAAAATGTATGCCCCATAGATGTATATATACTGTACTTATACGCTTATATGTATGTTTTTATACATATGTTTATACATATAGCCCTATGCTGGGACTCTAACCTGGACTATGCCCTTCCTACCTACATAAACTAAGTCTCCACAGTATACTTAAGTGATTCAGGGGCTACTTTTGCACATGCTAAGGTTGGTTCCTTTAAACCCTCACTGGTGTTTTTCTGGATTACTGTCTAGGGCCATGTTTCTCAACCTTGACAACTTTAAGATGTGCCATTCCTCCAATTCTGGGAGTTGAAGTCCACACGTCTTAAAGTTGCTGAGGTTGAGAAACACTGGTCTAGGGCAAGCCCAGCCTGCTTCATTTGTTGGTGGTTCAGTGTTTTATGCTCATCCAAAAAATGCACGCAGCCAAGTTAAACGTGTTGTACAAATACAAAATGACGCCTTTAGGAGGTTCTTTTAAAGCAGGAAAGCAGAAGAATCTCCAGAATGGGATTCAGCAATGCAGTTACTACAAGACTAATTTGTACAAAAAATAGATTTTTGCCTTTACCTTATTGTGTATCCTTCCGGATCATAAGCTTCTGCAGTTGCCACATTGGTACCAACGGTCACATTTTCATATTTCTCAACTATGTAGACGGACTGGCGGAAAACTGGTGCTTCATCCACATTAGTAACATAGATTTGTAAGAAAGTAGATGAGCTTGAATTATACTTTACTCCAGCCACAAGAGGTTCAGGATTAGTAGCATTGATTGTAAGGTTATACATGGCTGCCGTTTCAAAATCGAGAGCCTGCAAAAATGGAGGAAAAATTAAAACAGACATAACAACCAAGCAGGAACTTAGGTGGTACCCCAGCAGAAAATGTTATCTTCTTGATACAGACTTATAGCACAGTTCCTCAACCTTGTATCTAGATATGTTATAGTACAACTTTCCATCATCTGCAGCCAGGCCACCATATCAAGTATACTGAAGAGCCTGTTAAAACAAAACAGACCAAATGCATCTCAAGCAGTTACAGCAAGAGTGCCAAACATATATTTATTTGCTTGCTTGTTTGTTTTTATTGGCAACCATTCTCTATTCGATTAGACATGGCAAGAAGAGAGGTCAAGTTTTCAGATAGAAGACTATTTACATGTTCTGCAATTTAGGATTAGATTTGTGACTTCTCCTTCAGCCATCTGCATACTTATGAGAAGTATCTGGTATACAAGTGTTCTTTTCTTTTCTTCTTTTCCTTTCTCATTCTTTTTGCAGAACATTGCCTCTTCCATAATTTCCCATTACAGCATTACAGGTGGGGGCAGGAAGTGCATGCAACTTTATTTCCTGTCTAGCTTGAAGTGTGGAAGAGGTGTTTTCTCAGGTCCTGTGCTATGGGGGTGAAGCTTTGATTGAATGACAAGTTTTTGATCTCTCTCATTGGTCTTGAGGGTGCATGGCATCTCCATGTTCTCTCAGTATTCCAAGGAGATAAGATAACATGGCTGTGTTTTATCTTTGACTGTAAGTACAGATCTTTGTCTTTATCATATGGCTGCCTTTAAAATAGTTTGGAGGGATTAGGGAGAAGGAATGGTGTTATGGGGGAGACCTCTAAGTGCACTGCTTTTAACTGTTCTCCAAAGGTCTGCAATTTCAAGTTTGGTAGGTATGAAACCATCCATTATTGCGATTTAGCATTTTGGCCTTAAAACTCACAGGATCTCAGAGGAGAATAGTCTCACAAGATTTGAAGGTTTCACAGAACTTCAATCATTTAAAAATATTTTTCCCCAATTTTCTTAAATTTGGGGATTTTGTAGACATCATATTGGTGTGTGGTATACGTGGTGGCCCTATTGCCATTCCTTAAATTAATGTAGTATTGTTCTTAGTCATTCAACTGCCTTGCCTTGAGCAAACGTTAATAAAATCTATGTGATGTAACAATAAAAGAAACAACATTCACTCACCTTATTAATTTTAATAACTCCCATGTTTGTTTTTTTATCCGTCAGTATTATAAAAGTATTATTTGGGTCACCCTTTGTGATGGTGTAGATAATTTGAGAGCTTCCAGTAAATGGTTCATCAGCATCTGTAGCCTGAATTTTCTTAAGGATGGTTCCTATTCCCCAGTCTTCTGGAATAGTCAGAGTGCCATACTACAGTGAAAAATGAAACACAAAATATGTATTTAAAACAAAAGAACAGAAAAGAAGAAGAAACAACACCTCTAAAAAGAACTAATTCCTAACTATTTTGAACAGAAATTCATGATGTGGTAATTTGAAATCATCAGTTGCTGTTGCACAACATTCTAAAACCACTCCCATACAGCCTGTTTGCCCTGGCATGAAGATGTTCCACTAACCATTTTTAGAAGACACCTCCTCATTTAGTGTCCATATCTTATCATCACCCAGACTGCTTGAAGTGCTCCATCCTGGAAATAGTGCTTTCCCTCTCATTCCTGCTCAAGATCTTCCATCCAGACAATGCATGGCACATGGGGAAGGAGACTTTAGGTGACAGGGTTAGGGTTTACTGCTTAGCCCCAATTGACCCAGCAAATCTGCTGTGGGAATCTCTTCCATTCAGCCCCTGGGTGGATCTCTGCATCTCTTCTGTGGTGCTGGTGAACTGCTAGGGAGACTGGAATTGTGATTTCTACAGCTACTTTTTTTAAAATGGGTTAGTCCATTAGATCATTTGTGCAAAGCCTTGAGATAGAGTAGCCTTTCTCCAGCCTAACAGATGTAATTGAAACCATAATTAAAAGGACTGGCTCTTCTGCTTCTCTACTAAGTGTGGTGGGGAATTCCCTTTCCAGCGACCACTCCTTCCAGGGAAGCCCTGGCTCCTCCCTTCTGTTCCTCACATAATTACAACTCCCACACTGATACCCGTAGCAAAGCTCCTTTCTCAAACTCCAGCTGTTCAACAACACTTATCCACAAGTGCATCTTGACTGCACAAATCCAACCAACCACTAGATGGCAGCCAGGAAATACGAATAACTCTTTGCTGCCACCTAGAGGTCTATAGGTTGAATGCTCAACCAGTCAACCCATAGTTACAAGTTTTTTTAAAAAATAAAAAGTTAGATGACAAGAAAGAAAAAAGAGGAAAAGTACATGGAGCAATTAGACCATTGTGTGTGACCCTTTGAGGAGGTTTTTCTAATGCTGGATGATGTTGAGCAAGACTGGAATTTCAGCTGAGGGAACCATCAACCATAGCCCCTTAAAATGCCATGTGTATTAAAGTATGGACAACAGCAGTACAGCATGACTCCATTCAGTACTCGTGCAGTAAGGATGTGCTTCAAGAAGCAAGATTTAGGGCAACATTAATCCTGCCAGTTTGGGATGAAAGCACAGCAAAGTAGCTGTGTGGAGATGCTCTATGAAAAAATCAACAGCAGCTTACCTTTGAGTTTCTTCTGAGCTCCATGCAGATTTCTGCAACCTAGTTCCCTCCAGGAGCGTTTGGGATTACAACTTCCAAAATTCCCAACCAGCATGTCTGTTGCTTATTGTTGACTGGGAATCCTGGGAATTGTAATCCTAAAATATCTGGTAGGAATCAAGCTGGGAAAGACTTACCTAACTAGCAACAGATATGCAACAACAATGTCTACATGCCAAGCAAATGTCTTGGAAAAGGATACTGTCAAACCAAAAGTCTGAGATTTTTCCAAGCTCTTATAAAAGCAAAAACAGTTATCAAGATACTCACATCTGATTTTTCAAATATTGGGATCTTATCATTGATGTCAATGACATGTATTTGTACATCGCATACTGTTGAGAAATCTACAAGGAAAAGGATGTAACAAGATCAAATGTGAGCTGATCTGCATAGAACAGATTTTCAAACTTTTTAGACACTTCAAATATAGCTTAAACATCCTACACTAATTAGTAGCCATTCATAGGTGTGGAATCGGGGAGACTCAGACTCTAAAAGCTCACAGGTAACTTTGGGCCAGTCATTTCTTTTCAGCCCATCCTACCAAAAGTTGTAATGGGATGTACCGTATGTGGGGAATCAGAGAAGCAAGTGATATGTACACTGCCTTGAGCTCTTGGAGGAAGGACAGGATATACATCTAACAAATAAGAATAGTAATAGTAGAAGTTGCACTGACATGCATTTAAATATTCAAACTCCACTAGAAGAGAATAAACTGTTTCACACAAGTAAACAACTCTGTAGCTCTCTAGGGCAATGATAAGCAACTTTTGGTGGTTGGGATCACATTGGTTATGTTGACTGTTGTTGGTTTTATCTCAGCTCTCATAGCTGTTATTTATTGTTTTTCTATTATGTTTTTATCTTCTTGTTCTCTGTTAGCTACCCAGAGTCATGTTTGAGATGGGTGACCGAATTGAATGAATGAATGAATGAATGAATGAATGAATGAATGAATGAATGAATGAGTGGCTAGCTAGCTAGCTAGCTAGCTTTTGGGCGTGAGTGGACAAGTCCTCAGTAGTAAAGTGAGAATGCAAAAGTGAGCAGGCCATGTCACATACATGGGTTAAATCAGTGGTTTTTCATTTTTCCCAATACCATTTTTTTCAAGGGGAATAAATTAGGGTTTTAATGTTGTTCCCCCTATTTTAGAGCTTACATTTGAATATTTATGTTTCCCACTTCAACATGGAGGAAAAACTACAATTTTCAGCAATCTTGCCATGAAATTCAATAGTATGATCAGATGGTATTTCAGGGCCACAAAAAGGCGAGCGTCAAGGCTTGGGGTTGCAGGCAGAGCTACAATCACAGTGTTATAGCCACTATCTTGCCTTTTTGGACCATACCTTATGGACATCTCTGAAAAGGAGCCTTCTTTCCAGAGGAGTCAATCTCCTGTAGTAAGAAACAGCCACAAATAATTTTGTGGCAACTAAAAGATTTATAATTTTGCTTTTACACATGTGGCTGTTGTTGGAAGGGAAAGTGGAGAATAGGAGTGAAAAGGGATGGTGGGAAGGAATGAAAGAAGTGCAGATGAGAGACTGTAGGCTGTCTTGTGATCTATGTTGTTCTAATACAGTATTTGGAGAATAAATTTAATGTGTGATGCACTGACCTGGATCTGTCACTTCCACCTTCAAAAAGTAATTTGTGGCCACTTGTCTGTTTAATCCCATTTTGAATAAGTGGACCGACCCAGTTCCTGATTCAATGCGGAAGAGATTGTCTAGTGGGATTTTGGGGGTCTGCTCCAAAAGGCGGAACCGCAGGCGGGAATTGAAAGACCCCTTCTTGTCTCTGTCTGAGGCAGAGACAGTTCCTATTAAATTCCCTGTTGGTAGCAGAAAAAACTGAAGTTAGACCAATAGCACACACGCATAATAGAAAATAAAATACTTATAGAAATGCTAATATAACTTTTGGGCTTGGCCAAGGGAACTAGCAGGATTCCTACATGACTCATAAATTCAGGATAGAGCTATTTGTGTGGAATATCACCTCCTTAAAACCTGACGAAAGGCAGTTAATATCTTTTAGTGGAATCCAGGATAGCTGAAGAAAGATTGGTGATGAGCAAAATGACTCCTTTTTCAACTTCAGCCTAGCAATGAGGGACTGCATGTATCAAGGCCCTTTCCGTTCAGTAGCAGCTTGGAAGGCAGAATGCTTTGGGAACCATCTATCTGTATAATTATTAATATTATGAGCTGTGTCTCAGTTTGTTTTATCCAGGACCAGCAGATAGAGGCAGAAGGAGAAATAAGATAGATTTAGATTTGCAAGCTCTAGTAATGAAAGTCATAGTGAAAAAATGGGACTAAGGTTAAATGTAAAGAAGGCCAAATGAATGACACCAGCCTTAGAACTGACAGTGAAATATTGAAGGATACTTCTGCCTTTTAGGATTGATTATCAACAGTAAAAGAACCCACAGTCACAACATCCGCTGCAGCCTAGCATTTGGTAGGACAGCAAGGAAAGCCTTGAAAAATATATTCAAAAAGCAAAAGTTGAACTTTGAAGAAGCTGGATGTAAAGAGTATCGAACTTTATGTTGAAAAAGACTCTTGAGAATACTATGGGTAACCAAGAAAACAAACAAATGGATCATTGAACAAATCAGTCCAGAGTTGTCACTCAAGGCACAAATGACCAGGCTCAAATGATTGTATTTTGGTCATATTATGCAAAAACCCAACTCCCTTGAGAAGTCTATAATGCTGGGAAAGATGGAAGTAAACAGAAGAAGAGGACAGCAGCAAGGTGAATGGACTTGATTACAATGGCAGTATAGAGAGCCACAGGGATGGCCTTGGAGAAACTATGCAGTGACAGTTTCAAACATATGCTTTAAGCCTGGGGAACAAAGAAAGAATAAAAAAGAATCTCAAACTGGCTCTGCCCTAATTTCCTGGGGTATAAGTGGGAGGGAAGGTAAAACACCGTCAGGCTTTTAAGATTCAATTACTATAGACTATATGTATATTCAAACTTGTGGAATCTGTTTCCTGACCTGGACTACCCTGAAGGTCTAACAAGCAATTGGTGCAACACTGGGAGAACTGAAGGGCCTGGTTGGGTACAGATCATCCTGGAAAAGGTTTATCTATGTGGTCACTAAGAGTGAACACCAACTCGATGACACATAATCAATTAATCAATATCCTTTTGACTCTATGTTCCTCTGTAGGATCATAGAAACTTAATAGCAGGGAAGAATTTATAGTTCAGCTTCACACAGATAAATTAGCAATGTCCTTATTTTTCTATTTAGAGATCTTTTTTAAAAAAGAGGAGGGGAGTTTTACTTCAGGGAGGGGGGGATTCAAGGATAGCATGCTTCACCCATCCTAGGCAGAAATTAAAAGGGAGATATATGTAAGTGCTGAATGGAGCATGTAAAAAATTATTTTTACCTATACATTAAATACAATATTTCTTACCTGCAACTTCATTTTCTTGAACTTCAAATTTAGTCATAACGTGGTCACACACAGGGGGGTTATCATTGATGTCTTCAACGTGGACTGAAACAGTGACTGGGTAGGCCAGTTTGTCTCCCTCTTCATCAATTGCAAGGATATAGAATGAGTACTAAAATAGGATTAAAGTATTATAATTAAAAACTGCAGAAATAATGAATATAGGCTTAACAGAACGATAGTGCAAACTTCATTACCAGAGTTACTCCCCATCTCATATAAAAACCATTCAAGAGCAACATGATTTATTTGAAATGTTGGTATCTAGGCTAACAAACCAAACAAGAATTATTTAAACAAAAAACTAATATAGAATGCAGTGCTGATAAAGAAACACAAATAGAAAACAACCTGAAGGTCACACTAGTTTAGCTTTCCCCATATTTTAAACCGCATCTGCTATCCTTTCCCATGTACTTACATAATCTTTCTCTTCTCTGTCTAGTGGTTCAGTAACGTAAACTGTCCCACTCTGATCAACTGTAAATGGGAGTTTAATAGAAGATTTTTCTTTGGGTTGAAGTTCATACTTTGCAGATGGATCATTCCACTGAACCTAATAGTACAATGTAAGAGTAAACAAAAGGTTAAAAATGGAAAGTTTTGACTTCTTATATGGATTTTAAAATCTTTTTTTCTCTTTTTAATGCTGGTCCGTTGTTAGGACAGACAAAAGTTTATCAACTAGATCAGTAATAGCGTTCTACTTAAAAAAAAAAAATTAGTGATATTTACAGTATTTCAACTTTTCTACTGAGAAGGACCCACCAAATGGCGCTTTGCCTGACTGGGCAAATCAACAGTCCATTATCTCAAAGTTGATGGGTTGCTGTTTTCTTCCACTTTCTATAATACTGAGCATAGTACTCAGTATTAAGAGAGGAGGAGGAGGAGGAGGAGGAGGAGAGGTTTCCCTAACAACATCTAATCAGAAGGCCCAGGATAACTTTTTCCTCTGCAATGAACTCTGAACATATTCTGAAACCACAGACTATACAATATTCACACAGGTAATTTGTGACCAGTTTAGTTTGGCTGACAGTATCAATTTTACTTGGAATTCTGTGTGGGTGATGGTTGCTTTCCCTAGTTTTTCTTATATCCCTCTTTTCTCATCCTTCCTTTTATACATATTAATTTTGGCTTCACTGGTGTGAGATTTCCTTGTTCAAATCTTCTCCATGGGTAGGACAATATGGTGGTACTGTTTTTAGGAGGTTTACAAAGTTATAAGAAGTTGTGTATTTCTGTGTTTTAGACAGAAAAATCCAAGGGATCTTCCTTCATATTTTTGCCTGAAGTCCTTGGTGGAAGAGCTGTGAACTGTCCAACTAGACACACTAGGAGGGTCAACAGATTCAACCAGCTAACTGGCAAACTATCATAGCTATATTTCATTGGGTAACCATAGAAGAAGGGAATTCCCGTGAAATTTAAACTATCCCCTCTCCCAGCCCATAATATAACATCTTTTAAACTCTAACTGAAAAGCAACTGTTAATAACATAAGGTGGTCCTTGGTTAATGACCACTTGTTCAGCGTCCATTTGAACTTGCAACGGCGATGAATGAGTAGTACTTACAACTAGTCCTTGGAGTTCTGGCCATCTCAGCATCCCCACTGTCAAGTGATTGTGATCCAGGCACTTGGCACCTGGATCATAGTTAAGAAGTTGCAGCATCCTGCAGTCACATGGTCGCTATTTGCAACCTCCTTTGCCAGCTTCCGACAAGCAAAGTCGATGGGGAAGCTGGCAGGAGGTCGCAAATGGTGATCATGTGATATCCTCACTTAACAACCCACACAGTCCTCACTTAATAACAGCAATTGGGACTGCTGGAATTACCATCACTAAGTGGTGCGGTCATGTGATGTGCTTTAGGACTACGTTGCTTAGCAATGGCAATTCTGGTCCCAAATGCTGTCATTAACCAAGGACTACCGTGCAGTTATTTGAGAGGGAACAACAGATCTATAAAATGCTCAGAAAGTTTGGAAAGAATCCACAACCTCATCTCGACAATGGCTTTGATCCACAAACTTTGTGGTTGAAAGATTTGGCCTACTTTTTTTTTACTCTCTTGCATTCTCCTCATACATTGCTCTTTGTAATATCTTGCCTGTTGAAGAGTTCTGGGAAAATCAAAGGTTTGTGCATGCTGACATTCTGGATGGGTCTAATAAAGAGATTATTGCTCAAAATAATCATGGCAAAGACCTATGTAGAGTCAGCCCTGGCTATTTCCTGGGTGAAAGACCATCAGAAAAACACAATGGCCATAGTCTAGAGTGGGAAATTTAAAAACATATTTTAAAAGGCAGTTGGAAACCACTTACATCTTGGTGCCAAAACTATATTTGTGCATCCATGAATTCACCAGGATGGAGGTCAATTCAAAGAAAATGATCATTTTGAAAAAATAAAGATATTACCCAGGTATGGATTTGTTGGTATTCTTTTCCCAATGGACCAACATGTTTGTTTTTTATGTTCTAGAGATCCAGTAAAGATTTCTATTATGTAAAGATAATACTTTGGGCCAAAGATTAATTTAATTCATTTTTCTCAGTAGCCAACCAAATGCTTCTGGGAGTCGAACAATTGGAATATCACTCCCCTACAACATATTTTCAGTGACACATGACATTATCAGATTTATCTCTAGCAATATTTCTATCTTCTTTATAAAAGCTATCCAAGCTCATTATGACAATTGGCATGTTGTGAACCATAAGGAAGTACTTCTTTTCTCTCTAGGGAATCTCCAGCCAATTAAATTAGACCTCAATATAAAATTGTTACACTCATGGGTTTCCATCCTTTCTCTCTCTATTTTTTTCTCAAAGAAATCATTCTAATTTTCCAAGGTCTCATTTGCATGCTACAGTGGAATAGCTCAGTTGGATGCTACAGTGAAGTGAATTTGCTGAATGGCCCAATTATAGCAAATATGGTGGAAGTCAAAGATTGTGTCCTTAATCAGGATGGTGAGCTGCTTGATAATTTTAAGAGCTTACATGAGTGATGTTCATGGGGTGTGGCTTCGTAGAGTTCTCCATGAGTATTACTTCTGGAGGAGATTTCCAAAGGTTTTCCAGTACAGTGATCTTCACATCAGTGCTAGTGGCAAAAGAATCTTTGGACTGTCCTGCCTTATCTTTTGCTACCACCTCAAGGGTAAACTTGTCCTGTATGTCTGGATTTAAATTTTCTGCTCCTGAAAATCAAACAGAGAATAAAACTTGAAAATATGCACTCTCTCCTTCTCCTACATTCTGAGACAATCACAACTCCCTTTCTTTAACAAAACCCCATCACTTAGCTTTTCATAAATCAATTATCATTACCATAATATTTATGTTTCTGAATAATGCTAAGGCAAGTTCTGTTGTAATCCTGGTTTGCCAAGTAAGTGCAAGTTTGTTTTACAGGTGATCAGTCAATTCCTAGTTTCTTTTCTCTTAATTTCTTCTGCCAGTGTCTATAGAGGATCCCAAATACCAAACAGCTATAGAAAATACTTTGGCATATAACAGCAGAGGAATCTATTTCTGTTTCATTTATGCTGTGGGTTTTACCTGTATGGTTGTGGAAGTTTTTGTGGGATGGAACTTTTGTGGGAGAAACTGGTTTCTCTTCAGATTGCACAAATATTTCACCATTTGTGGGAGAATTGGTGCTTTTGCTACATTTTCAGTTTTGCCAACCATAGTTAGTTTTCTCAGAACTAACATCATATCTGCACAGCAACAGTATCTGGATACAGATGTTAGATAATGGTTTCTTCATGTACCTCCTCCTCCCAAGCCTCACGTAGCTAGTAAAACAGTGGAACCACATTTCACATTCTGAAGAAAAATCAAACCTTCCTGTATCGGTTTTACTAGGAGTTTACTGAAGGATTTAGAGTCTATTTGGAAGTGGCACATGTGTTTCCCAAATGTGGGAAAATTAAGTTTAGAAATATGAAAAGCTATTGACTTTGACACGGCCATAAGTTACCAGCGGAGTCTGGGCTTAACTGTACAAGGATGACAGCTTAATTATTTTCAGCTTAGTATCATTATGAAAAAAAAAATCACCTACCAGAAAGAGTTGTAGAAATTGCTCCTGTAACATTGTCAATCTGAAAAAACATCTCGGTGGTAAAAGGGCTGGGAAACTGATGAAGGATACTATAGCTGAGTTGTGAATTTAAGGAGCTGGGATCATCACGGTCAAAAGCAGTAACATACATGAAAGGCTTTCCTGTGTGTGTTTTTTAAAAGAAAATAAAAACAGATTGGAAATAGAAAGTCTCACTCACCACCAAAGGGCAGTCACTGAGCATCAACAGGCATGCCAATCTCTTTAAACAGAATAGCCTTAAGCTTAATGTTTTAGTTGGAAACATCAAGAACAAACATCCATGACAGGATTGGCTTTAGGTATTCTAGTATCTTTAGGGCAGTGTTGTCGAAACTTGGCCACTTTAAGATGAGTGGACTTCAACTCCCAGAATTCCCCAGCCAGCATGGCTGGCTAGGGAAT